CTCTTAAACTCTCTTAAATAGCGTTTCATTATTATTTTTAAATTGTATTTTAAAATGTTTGAAAAACAGATTCAATTTTATGACGATTTAAAAATGTATTCAGAATTTTTTTTTATTTTTGCTTTTATTTTCTTATCTTCCTTCCAGCTTTCTGAGACGCCCCCTGGTGGCCCTCCACTTTGAAACACACTGCTCACCAGTGTTTTTTATCTTTATGTTTTTAGTTTAAGTCAATAGACTGTCCTCACTTTTAGATGTCTGACATCAGAATGGTCTTGTGGAACTCGTTTTTCTGCAGGGTGTCGGATTGGAAAAGGGGAGGGCTTCGCTGACCTGGAGTGGGCGATGATGGCCTCAATGGGAGCTGTGAATGAATCCACCGTGGTCGTCACTGTTGTCCACGACTGCCAGGTGAATCTGCTTACTTTAAAAACTTGCAGAAAAAGCTCAGGTGCTTCATGGATCTTGACATTTTAACTAAACAGCTAAACTTGCTCTAATCTCACRTTCCTCTTATAGAAGTTGTGCAATGAATAAATCTGTCAAAGTAAATTGATATTTGTGTTTTAGGTGGTAGACATCCCAGATGAGCTGATGGGGAGTCATGACCTGACTGTTGACTACATCCTCACACCCAGCAGAGTTATTAAAACYAACTGCCAGTTGCCTAAACCACACGGGATCATCTGGAATAAGGTAAATGTAAAAAGTTCATCTCATCTTTATGTAATGCTGCCGTCAAGTTTTTATAATGTTGAATTTGTTCTGCCAGAACATTTGTTACTCTGATACAAAATCAAGGGTATTAATTTGATTAGAATCATGCATCTCGTACTCACTTTCTTAATCATTATAAAACAGTATATGTTGGTTTAATTTTTCAGACAATACTTTTTGTCAATTTTTACTTAAACAAAAACAAGTGTTTTATATTTTAAATTATGCTGATATATGAAATCTTAGCGTACAAAGAAAGTGTTACTTGTGTTTGACAATAAAAAAATGGGGGAAAAACTATTWAGGAACAAGAAAATACAAAGTTCAATGAAATTTTGCTTCTAGTAGTGAGTATTTAGTATTTTTTCAGTTATTTTTACAGTGGTGTGGAGGTGCTGGAGTTCATAATATTTTCTACAAGCCATATCTTTACAAATCACACATCACTGACGTCCAACGTTTTCCTTCTCACTTCTCCAAACTCATCTTGTTTCCAACATTTCCAAAGACATTTGAGGAGGAAAAGCAATTTAAATTAGATCCTTCTCCTACTTTGCTTTGCTCCAAAGCTACATCCCTGGCAGCTCCTTTACATCTCATCTGGGATTTTAGGTCTCATTCGGCACGTTAATTGGCTTTTGAAACCTCAGTCAGCTGCTGCTGCYGCGTGTAAATAAAACTTCTGTTGGCATGGTTACTCATCACAACAGAAACGCTAGACGCATCAGCAGAAATCACCCACGACACGGCAACAAATCCAGTCTGGAAAAAAAACATTCAGATTTAAAGAAAAAAAAGGGGGGCAGGGTGAATTTCTCAAGAGAATAGAAAGAAAATGGCAACATAACCAAATCTACTGCAACATATTGTTAGTAATCAGTTTAATACTAACACGTGGTGTAACATTCCTTTTATTGATCCTTCGCAGTGTTTTTTATTGGCAAAAATATAATTTTTTTAACCACATTTTAGGCATCATAAGTCAATGTTTTCTGTTATGGGTTGACAGGAAGATTTTGAGCAAACGTGTTAATGTTTGTTATAATAAAAAGTTTAATTTRTGTGTTTCATTATATAATAAGCTCTTCCCTGGAAAGTTTCTGGTGTTTTTTGGCTTGAAGGTTAAACAGTTTCTCACCTCTTTCACACAAATATTTAACATCTCTTTTAACCAACACTGCCCCCTAGTGGTTTCCCCCCAACTCAGTTCAATGTTATTTATTTATTTCTTTTTCATCACAGGACTTTCTTTAATAGAGCACAAATGTAATATTTTGGAACATCATTTGTTTGAATTTTTTCATTCAATGTTGAACATTTTATTTTTTAGAATTGGAGGGATAAAAGTCAGAATACTTTAAAAATCGCAGGGGAAAGACTAAACAACCAAAAAATGATTTAAAAAAAATAGAAATMACATCATGCTATTTACAATAGAACAACTCAATGTTATGTTTGAAACAGTAAAAGATGTATGGACACGTTAAATTTGACCACAATGTCTTCATATCAACACTATCCTTGTTTCATCATACTAGCCTCTCCACTGTGTATTTTATAAACATATATTTTTTTGTCGCATTGTTCAGCTTGAACTAACACGATGCATATTGCTTAAAGCATATACATGTAAATTACACACATCTATATCCAAAAGCATAAATAGATGGGCATGAATGGCATTTGTATAAAACACATACCATACACAATATATACATAATGTTTAATATTAAATATGACATTTCTAAATATGAAATATTGCCTGGACCTCACTGATTTACTGACACTAAGAGTCACATGTTTTTTTTTCTTCTAATAACAAGTCTTTATTTAGACATGATGAGCAAATTATTCTTATGTATTGTGTAGAACCTCTGGGTTCCTCAAGACACACATGTAAGTAAACAAAGCCAGGTGACCTCACAGACAGGAAGGCCAAATCTGATCATCAAAGCCTGTTCTGCCCAGCCACCTTGGCTCTGCAGGGGCAGGGGAGCAACGGGTCAAACGGGCCAGTGTAAAAACAATGGGCCTTTATATCCTTTACATGACTGGTCAGCATCAAAGGCTGCCAGGACACTTGAAGACCCAACAAATCAAGACAGCCGGTGTTATTTTTAAACTCTGTGGGAAGTGAAATATCCTGCTGCTGTAAAGGYAGTTGTTAGTTGTGAGCGGTGTGGACTAATGCCGATTCATTTGTCTTCAGCTGGACACAGAAAAGTTGAAAAAGATTCCCATCCTGAAGAAGCTGCGCGCTCTGGAGGAACAGGCTGGGAAGGATGTGACACTGGGGGCAACGCCGCCTGCAGCAGAGCCCGCTCTGCAAGACGATCAACCAAAACGGCAACCCAGACGGAGGCCAAGACGGAACACGCAGCAGGATACAGAGGGAGAGAGCAGCCAGGAGTCCAAACAGAAGACAGAGACAGGACAGAGAGCCAGACAGCAACCAGCGAGGAAAGAAGGCAGAGGAAGTGGCAGACGGGCGGCGAAGGAGCCCGGATCAGAAGAAGGTGGGGGTGAAGAGGCGGCCCGGAGGAAGCTCCCGCAGACGGTGACCACAGTTTACCTGGGAGGAATCCCCACTGGGCTGCGGGTCAGTGAGCTGAAAGTGGCCCTCAGAGAGAGGAAAGCCGCTCCGCTCAGGCTCACCTGGCAGGGAGCTCAGCACAGGGCCTTCCTGGATTACACCGACCCACAGGTGGCCGATCAGGCCCTGGAGGCTCTGCAGGGGCTTTGTCTGAACGGTCAGAGTCTGCAGGCTGAGCTGGCCAAGAGCCAGCGAGGACAAAGGAGGTCAGGACAGAGACAAAGACYGTCCACAGGTCAGAAGCCAAAAATGCCACAGAGTGACATCACCAAGGAGACAGAACATTAAAAGCAACAGGAAGTAAACGAGTCAAAAATATTATTTTTTTTAGTTTGTCACAACTAAAATCTTTACAAGTATTAAACTTGCATGTGTTTTATTTCATTTTAATATAAAAAAAGATTTTTGTGACATGAACATAATGGTTTTTGAAGTATTAAGTAAAAACAAAACAAAATGTAAAGAAATAGAAAGAAATTAATGCTTTTCTGGAGAAACCTTTGTTTAATACTTGACAGTGTGGCAATACAGTCAGATATGTGCCTTTTTTTTGTTTACACCCGATATAAGTGTCTCAACGGACTTTTTTTCCTGCTATTGGTATTTATTTGTTTACTTAGACATTTGATGTGTACTATAAATATTTCTCAACTTTTTTGATCTTAGTCGTAGTACAATGAATTTTTTTTCTAACCTTGTCTCCTTATCAGCCATCTTTTACAGAACATTGGGTTTTTCCAACTGGTATCTTTATTTTTTTGAAAGTAAATTTTTTATAAATGGCCCCACCATCTGGACATTTCTGTAATGATGATAAGAGAGGAAAACCTCTAAATTGTTTTGAGCGTCCAGTGTGTCTATAAACTTAATTTTTGTTTATTTTTCAGTTCTTTTTTTGACACGTTTTTGTTCTCCTCCTGCACATTTTCATAAAATTCTGTAAAAATACAAATTTAAAACTCAGTATTGCTTTGTCAGGATGAGAACTAATGTGCTGTTACATGAAATCAAATTGTGTTCATATATTTGAAGCAAAATGAAGAAAATTAAAAAATCTACTATTGAATTTCTTTGGTTGTTTTATAGAAATTAAGTATAGACAAAAATTTCCGAAAAATATTTCAATGTACATAAAGCTACAAACAATCCCTCTAATATCCAAGACTTACTTTTTGAATTTAATATTACGCTTTATTACTATTTTACTATGAGGAAAATTGAAATCAGTTTATTGTGGCCTAGATCTTTTTATATGTTTATTTTTCTTCATTGTTTCAGAAAATGAATAAATATCAGTTTATTTAATCTGTGATGTTTGTACTTTTATTGACTGTAACCTGTTTGATTATTAGTGTGATAAAAAAAATCATCTGTTTGGTCTGTGTGTCTGTTATTCAAAGATCTGCACCACATATTTATTTATTTTCCTCCAGTTTTAATTACTTGGCAGGTTTCTATTGATAAACGCTGACTTGAAATGGGGGGAAAATCTGTTAAAATACTTCATCTGAACAGAAAGTTCGGAGTGTTTTTTGTCGTTTTCAGACAGTTCATTTTGATAAAAGCTGACACGTTTTACGTTGCGTGAACATTTATTTTTAGCTGTGCAGCTACAGCAAAACATTTTTTGATGAGTCACTCTTTTTATGGAGGCAAATTTTTGTTCTGTTTTCTAAGTGGTCCAGTCTGAGTCAGAATAAAGTTTAATTTCAAATTCATCATCAGAAAATAAATTATTCACACACAAACATAAGCTGATTTTCCCCTTATGTGTTTTGCTCCTCTGCTTTATTGTTGCACTCTTTCTGCTCTGTTTTTCCCTGCCAGTGATGGCTGCCRTGTCAGTTGTCAAAAAGACTTTTTGTTTTTTCCCCCCTGTTTGTTTCCACTGAGACACAAGCCCACGGTGCATCTGTCTGCACGCTGCAGAGCTCAGGCTTTTTATGGAGCTGTCATCCAGGCCTGGCCTGGGAACAGCTGTGCAGTTCCATCTTTCTCCTGAGCTCAGAGCTCTGAACCTCAGCAAATGTCATCAGTTAGTTAATGTGCTGTTSCACTGCTGCCGAGCCTGTTCACCCTGTGATCCGTGGTATTTTACTGGGGTTCAGTCGCTGGTCATGTGAGCCATCCCGGCACAGCTGGTGTCACATGAAGCAGTCTGCTCTTTTCTGTAAACATGGACACCTACAGGCACCAACATCAGTGTCTTACAAAATAACACGCAGGACGCTTTAGAGCAGTGTTTCCCAAAGTTGGGGTCGGGACCCAAAGTKGGGTCCCGAAACATCAACGTGGGGTCCTGAAAAAGATTTTCTGAATCAATTATATTTTTGCCTTAGTTGTTACAAATGAGTGAGGTTAGTATATTTAAAATGGATAAATGTAGTATAAAAATATTGTTACTATGCCCATGTTTTGTCGACCTGATACAAATGTTTATCATCCAAAAATAGTTGGGGGCACAGGTCTCTGCTACTTGTACTATTTTGTTGGTCAAAAGCTGAAAAGTTTGGGAACCACTGCACTTTGGTTCCCAAAGTTGGGCTTGGGACCCAATTATGGGTCATGAAGCACCTTGGATAATCTCCAGAAATCAATTTAAAGGGTAATAAAACAATTGCTGATGTAATATTTTCCCTATAATATTACAAAAACACAAAATAAGTAAAAAATAAGTATTTATATTTGTGTATAAGCTGTTTAGATTGTCAAAAAGCCTGTGTTTTTAGGGTTATTAACAAAGTTCATGTACTCAGACCAGTAATATTTGGGGTCACAAGTTTTTRCCATGGATATTTTGTGGGTCAGAAGACAAAAGGTTTGGGAACCACTGCTTTAGAGGACTCGTGTTTTTTAGAGACCACCGGACCATCCCACTTCTTATTAAATTTTAGCATTTTTTTTACTGAACCCAATTAAAACCATAAATCCAAAAATTAGAATAAATTGCATTTATAGGGGACGTATTTTAGAAAATTAAAAAAACACATAGGAAAAACTGAGTATTTGGGATATTTTTAGCTGGTTTGAATAAAACATCAGGACTTCATATTAATTTTAKACTTTAATTAATAGTGATTGCTGTACAAAATGAGGCATTTTAAAATGAGTAAAACAGATCTTCCTTATGTTCTTGTTAAAAATTTTCAACACATTCTCTAATGTTCCTGAAAACAACTGGAATTCTTCAAATCAGCATCTTTTATTATATTTACTTCTGGTCTATATTAAAAACATAAAAATATTTCTGGTCCAATTATTTTATTTTRTTTATTTTTTTGTTAAATAGGAAAACAGCAGAACAAACTGCATTCAGATTACAAGTAAGACCTGATTCTGATTTATTTGGCAATAATTTCTGCACACATTTGTTGGTAGCCATAATAACACTAAACTTTAAAAAAGGCATTTTCCATCCATCCATTTTCGTTACTCACTTTTTCAAAATTTTTTATTATAAATCAGTAAATGCAATTATAGAAAAAAATCTTGTAGATATAAATTACAATATCAGGCATTACTTGTGTGCTTTTAAGTTGAATTTGGTYCAGTTAATACCTGAGTCGAACTAACTGAAATGCAAAGTTTATTATTACTGCTGTGATAYTTATTAAACAAAACAGACCCAATCTCCTTTTTTTAAAAAAATCTAGTGTTGCTTTTATTAATTATTATTTTTATTTTTATTATTTTTTGTTTTGTTTTCAGATATGCATAAAATTCAAATAGTTCTGTTTTAGTGATTTATTGAGCTTAACAGCCCCCCTTATTTATATATCCAGAATACTGTGCTGGAAAAAAAAAGGTCTTCATACAAAGAACACAGTGCTTACATTTTTTTTTTTTACACAAATCATAAGCATTCTGACAAATATTGCCAATAAAGCATGTAACTTCTTGGCCAATTCGCCTGAAATTAAAATCTAATCCTACGGAATAAATAAAACAACACTTGCGCTTATATTTTTTAAAAAGTGCCATATTTTCTGTACACAGTATTTTGGCCTAAATAATAATGTTCAGAAGWATATTTCAGAATTTGACTTCGATTGATAGTTCAAAAAAAGAGAACTTTGGTTTTAATCATCAACAACAAGGAAAATATTGTAAAAAGATAATAGACAAAAGGACGTGCGCGTATTTTGGATGAATTAACATGAAAACTGTGAAAGAAGTCATCTGCTCTGCAGGACTAAAGTACCAAACAGCAGCTGGGTTTCCAGTCAGTTTTTTTTTTTAATTATTTTTTTTTTTTTTACTCCGCTGCTCAATGTTGAAAGCTTTAAAAAGTTTGTATTATCATATATTATTAATATCAGGTTTGTTGTTGTGGTTGTCCTTGTCTCCGTGTCTGTGCGTAAAACACACAGACGAGGTCCGGGTTCTGACTGGGAGCGATGCGCTCTCTTTCCCCGTGCCGGGCCGGGCCGGGCCGGGCCGAGCCGAGCCGAGCCGAGCCGGGTCCGGTCGGGCTGTGCAGAACTCAGCGGTCAGTTTTGATTCTCACATTAGTTCGTCCCGCGGCCCGGCTCGGGTCCTGTGTGACACCTCGGCAGGTGTTTGGGTCATGTGGATCACATGACGCAGGGCTTGATGTCCTGGTAGGAGACCTGCTGGTGGTGGTAGTAGGAGCCGTTGCTCGATGAGTGCATGGCCGAGGACGTCATGGCGTTAAAGGAGAACACGAACTCCTTTCGGTCGCACATGCTGGGGGACTGGGAGTGGTACCGAGGGATACCTGCACGGAAACATGACGTAAACACAACATTTTAAAAAAAATGTCTATTTTTTTTTTATTCAGACGTTAGATATTTAACTCTGAATTGTTCCTGATTCTGTAAATTAGAAGTTAATTTAAAAAATGCAAATAGGCCTAATATAAAAAAGTGTTTTTTTAGTAAATAGTACAATAAAATCACGAATTAAACTATTATATTATTTTTAATATAATTTCTTAATAATGCGCTTTTTAAATTTAAGATAAATTTCCTTCAGCTGCACCTAATGACTATGTGTGTTTTCCAGATCTGAGGTCTGTTTACTCAGTCCGAGAGAGAGAGGCGGGATCCGGGGGTTAATTGACAGTGGCCCTCCTGCACGCCAGTCCCGGAGGACCGGGGACCCCGGTGGGGCCGTGCAGACTGGACCTACACCCATTTTATTTTTTATTTTTTAATAGACAAGAGATGTGTATGACTCTGAACTGTCCCGGTAGACTCTCTGTCCGCTTTTAAATCCCACATTTCAATTGGGAGCAAAGAGATAAACGTCATTCCTGTGGAAAAAATGCGCGCTCTCAATTAGTTTCGTCATTTCCCTTAAATTACCTCAATTTAGACTCTTCCGTTGTTGAGCCGCAGAGATCTAAGCTTTTATTATCTGACTCCAGAACAGGCCTATATGTGATTCAGTTCATTGTTAGTGAGCGTTTCCATTAGGCCCATATTTGGAACCAAACTGGATTCACTTCAGATTTTGCGTCTATAGAAAATATTTGATGTTTCTCTTTCTATAAAATCGTCTCATGTTATAATTTCATATTTTTTCTCATATTAATTGCATGAACTGAACATTTTTGGACAGTTTGCTAAAAAGAAACAGACTCACCTTGTAAGTCTGTGCTGTGGCCGTTCTGGTGCAGGTACGACTGGTCCAGTGAGTGTGTGGGCAAACTGGGCTGCAGGCTGTTGGCTCCTGGGTTGCAGGGGGACAAAGGCTGCTGTTTGATGTAAGAAGCCCCGTTGTTGAGTGAGGCCGAGGGGGCCGGGGCCCAGGCCGAGGCTGAGCTCGAGTAGACGGGGTGAGGCTCCATGACTCCCCCGCTGGTGAGCAGAGGGGAGGCGGAGTTGTCGTGGTGGGGATAATCGCTCCCGGTGGATCCCGTGCAGCTCCCCATGTAGGAATGTCCGCCGTTCGCGGACAAGTGGGACATGGAGTGACCGGACAGAGCCATCCCGTCCATGTTACCGGCCAGGTGTCCATTCATCATCCCGATCCCACTGTCCAGAGACAAAGTGTTGGGCGGGCAGGACAGACCCCCGCCGCTGCCCTGGAAGTTGTAGGACTCGGGGATGTGGTTGAATCCCAGGCCGTTCATCATGCTGTACATGGGCTTCAGGGCCTGGCACTTGCGCCTGAAGCCCCGGGGCCTCCTTCTAAAGGAGCCTTCCTCGAACATGAACTCACTGGCCGGGTCGATAGTCCAGTAGTGGCCCTTCCCTGGTCGACCGAGGCCTTTGGGCAGCTTGATGAAGCACTCGTTCAGGGACAAGTTGTGACGCACGGAGTTCTTCCATCCCTGATATGAGCCCCTGAAAAACGGGAAGCGACTTTGCAGGAACTGGTAGATTTCACTCAAAGTCAAGCGCTTGGTCGGAGAGCTCTGGATCGCCATGACTATCAGGGCTATGTAGGAGTAAGGGGGCTTCTCTGGTCGTCGGATCCCCGCGTTGGTTTTTTTGGTTTTCGTCGTGGAGGAAGCGGTTTCCATCACCACCGTCTGTCCGTGCGGCTTCTCCGGAGCAGACATGGGGCTGCTCTGAGCAGGAGTCTGCGCGGGGGGCTGCTGGACCTCTGCCGTCATTAGATTGACTAGATTTAGTCTCGGAAATGACAAAGAAATCAGCTCTCCGCCCGTTGAACWCTAAACAGTTTGATAATACTTCGCCAACATAGGAGAATTAAAAAAAAAAAAAAAACAACGACCAAAGGCAAAAGAAGAAAAAAAGCGCGCGTCTTCCTTCTGAACTGTTCGGTTCTGGTTCAGTCCCGCTGCAGTCTGGAGCGCAACGTCCGCTGTGACACAAGGAGCAGAACAAGAGCCGCTTTCCACTTCGCTTGGTGTGTCGTCGTGCGTCCGAGGAGCTCACTTTTTACTTATCTGTTGCCATCGGCGCATTGGAAGCTGGAGGTCTTGTCATCCTGATGTTGGGACCCGCCCAGATCCCCTCCTACTCCAGCGGTGGGCTGTGAGCATGCACATCTGCGTGCGCTCACTTTTCTTTTTCCTTTTTTCCCCCGCTCTCTTCGAAATGCTTTCATTTGTGTAAAAACACAGAAATATGGGTTCTATCCCACACATTTATGAGAAAGTATTATAATAGGCATTAGATAATAAATTCAATAAAATGGTTTTTAGCGCGTTGCAAAAGCATCGACTTTAATCTGGCAGACATTCAGCTCCGCATTTATAAGGTTTTAATGTGATTTTATTTTTTCTTATTCTTATTTTAATACTGAATGTTGTGTGATAATTTAAAGTGTCCATCTATGCTCCCACAATCCAACACTCATTCCCCAAGGCGCCTCCTGACGCATGTCCCCTTAGCCCTTAAACCCGTGAAATAACTTTATTACCAAAACTAATTTACATATATAAAAGTATTTACCAGAGAACATGCCCCCATATTCAAAACCAGCCTCCTGATTTCTCTAAAAGACAGGCAGAAGCATGGGCAGGATGTTTATACAGCAGAATGTAAACATTTTCCCTGGCTTTCTTTAAATAAAAGAAAAAAAATCAAGCAAAAAGCCCCGTTAGATCAGTTAATACTCAAACTGATGCTGCATGCTCCTCTGTTCGCAGCCATCTCTGCGTGTTGGGACTTTTTATTTCTCTCTTTTTTGTTTCAAAATGAATCCTGTTTGTGTAACGCAGTCATAATATTTACGCAGGGACGCAGCAGGAGAGAGGTGGAGGCTCAGCCGAACTGTGCGCGCACAGATCCGGACCGGGACTTGAGCTGAACTCTCGCAGGCTGTTCTACAGGGGATGAAGCAGAAAACTGGAGGTAAGATGGATTTAACGCGATTTAATCAGACGCATGATCAGAAACAAAGCTCTTGTTTAAGTCGGAGAAAAAGACGAGCGTGTTTAGTTTATGTGTGACAAAAGGTGCGCGTAAAAGGTTACCAAAAAAATACTGGACTTTGATAGCATATCAGTTGGAGGAGTTTACGCACAATAATGTGTTGTTTCTGTTTTTAAAAGCTTCATTAGGCCGTTTTACAAGCAGGGAGTGAGAGCTGCTGGAAGGCGATCAGTCCATCCTAAAACTGTTGACAGTTGCTTATTGTTCCCTGGAGATCCGAACTCCAGCCGTTCACGTTTTCACTTTTTAAACGTTATGGTTCAGCTATTCTTACCAGGGGGTGCTTTTGGTTACTAATTGATTCATATGTATATATATA